CCCCCCCGACTCCCCCGACGCCCGCGGCAAACACACCAAAGCGCCGCATCACCGGAGCACCGCGCCCGAGAGAGCCCGGCCAACCGATAACACTCTTTTATCGGCAAATAAGTTGTCACCCCTAATGGGGCCAGCTCAGTTGGCACAACCTCGGGCCTCGCCCGTTCATGGATCCGTGGGCACCTGGATCCAACGGCATGTCCCCCCTGCCGCCGCCACCGTCGCTTCCGCCTGGCTGTTGGCTCGCAGCGTTATTTTGGCCAACCAGTGTGCCGCGCGAGGGCGGCCTCCCTCCTTGACACCGCCCCTCTCCTCCCTTCCAGCTGTCTCCTTTGTCCCTTGTCTTTCCCCTCCATCCGCTCCCCCCCCCCTCGCCCCCGCTCCTCGCCCCCGCCCCCCTATTCCTTGCCCAAGCCAGAGCGCCCCGCTGGACCGCCACCGGCCCTCGTTCCCCCGCCGTCTTTTGGCACCTCCCTCCCCTCTCCCGCCTCCTCCCTCCCTCCCCCCCCCGCCCGTACAGTGAAACATGGCTCGTAACGAGGAGAAGGCCCAGTACGTCGGAGGCACGCCCGCGTGGAAGCCCGGCCTTTCGCGTGTGGATCCCACTCCATCAATGCCGCCCAGGTCGATCGTGTCTGACTGATCTGATATCCCCCCTTGGCTTGTCCTCCCTCGCAATATGGCAGGTCCATGCTCTCGCGCTGGAAGCAAGTCCAGCAGCGCGAGCAGGGCGTCTACGTCGATCCGTTCAAGCAGCGGCGGCCGCGCGTCGTCGACACGATCGACAACATTTCCGAGGCCGAAAAGTGGCGCGGTGATGTTACCCGGGAGATCAGTCGCAAGGTGGCCCAGATTCAAAACCGTGCGCATGCTCTCCGCCGCTTCTCCTGCTCTCTCTCCCTCCCTCTCTCTCTCTCTCTCGCGATGCACGCGGCACCCGGCTCTGACATGCTCCTTGTCTTTCCGCCTCCTGCTGCTCAGCCGGCCTGGGCGAGGAGACCATCCGCGAACTGAATGACGAGATCAACCATCTCTTCCGGGAGCGCCGCGCCTGGGAGCATCGCATCAAGGCTCTCGGCGGTGCAGATTACACTGTGCGGCCTCCTTCACCTGCTTGACTTGGGCACGGCGCAAGCATCCTTCCCCTGCCGTCGCCCCCGCACTGACACTCCTGGCCGGGCTTCCCTCCCCCCCGTATGGCCCGCCTGCCGATTGCAGCGCATGCCCACCCGCATCCTGGATAAAGATGGCAAGGAGGCTGTTGGCTCCTATGGCTACAAGTGCGCCGCCTCAATCCTCCCCCCTCCCTCGACCCCTCCCATGGCGCTCTTTGCCCGTCCTCCTTCTGCCTGTCCCTGTCGCTGACGAGATCGCCCACCTTTTGCTCCCCCTCCTGCCCCCCCCCGGAAATGCTGCCCCCTCTAGGTACTTTGGCGCGGCCAAGGACCTCCCCGGCGTCCGTGAGCACCTCGAGGCCATCTCGCGTACGCGCCCAGTCACCTGTTCCTTTTCTTTCTCCGCATCTGGTGCATGTCCCCCTCTCCTGCCAAGAGAGGCCCCCTGTGCACTGACGCCACCTGCCCGCTCCCCCACCGCACCCTGCAGTAGAGCAACAGGAGCGCCGGAAGAAGAAGGAGAGCCCCTACAAGGGCATCGATGCCGACTACTACGGCTACCGTGATGAGGATGATGGCATTCTCTTGGTCCTCGAGGCAAAGCAGGAGCTCCACGGTACGCGCACAGAGGCCGACCCCGGCGGCCGACCCCGGCGGCCGACCATCCCTCCAATCAACACACCTCTAACCTCACCTCCACCCTTTTCTCCCCTCCCTCCCCCCCCCCTCTCTGCCTCGTGTTCTTGGACAGCTGTGGCCGAAGCCCGTGCGGCGTGGCTCGCGCAGCAGCAGCAGCAGCAGCAGAAGCCGACGCAAGCCGACGATGGTGAAAATCCCCTGGACAGCATCCTCGGGCTGGACGAGGCCCAGGCCGAGGAGGTGCTGGCCGCCTCCGCCAACGACGGCCGGCCCATCACCGACGGAGGTGTGTCTCCTCTACTTTTCCGTCTCCCTCTCCGGCTCAATTATCCTTTGACACTTTCTCCCTGTCCCTGCCTGCGCATTGCCACCCGCTCTTCCCTTTCTCTCGCCGGCCAGAAAACACGGTCCTCGATTCGCATCTGTCCATCCCCTCCCAGGAAGAGATGAAGGCCATCATCCTCGGCATTCAGAAGAGGGTGCGTGTGTTTCTCGATCAGCCAGCCAGCCAGTATGCGCTCTGGCCTTTTTTCCCCCCTCTCCCCCCGCTCCCTTTTTGGTCTACCACCCGTGGACGCGCAATGCACGTCCACAGGTGGCCGGCTGGATGCCCGAGCGCTGACATGAATAACCCGTGACCACAGAAACTGGTGGAGCTCTATGCCACCAGAAGCTGATCCTGGACCGCATGTGACGATATGGCCGGCCACCGTGCCACCCTGACCCTTGGGCGGCGCGAGCGACCCCTGTACCCGGAAAAAAAATCAAACACCCACTTTGTCTCCTTGCTCATTTCCCTGGCCTGAGGGTGTGATTTCCCAGTTTCCCGAGTGCATCCTCACTGGCTGATTCTCTTTCTTTTTTTTTTCAGCGAGTTTGGTGTCTGGCGGTTCGGCACACGGCCTCGCCGAGTCGAGGGTTTAGGTATCACACCTCGCGCCTGAGGAGCCGTGCGGGGGAGGGAGGTGTGCGTGGACACACATGTACGCGAGGGGTGGTGGAGACCCCTCCGTACCGGCGCCCGTTGGCCCATGCTCCGTCGTTTGGGCTTCTGCGCCTTGGCGCACCTCCTTACAGGAGGGGACCGACCACGAAACGTGAGCCAATGGTCTCTCTTCTCGGGGGGAGAGGCCTCCCCCCCCCCTGTGGCCAGGTGGCTCCCCCCTTTGCTGAGGGCCGACCTGAGGAGCTGGCGGGTGCGGGACGCGTGTCCCCGTGGTGGTGACGGTGGACGCTCTCCCCCCCCTCCCCCTGCAGCCAGGATGTTGACCTCTCTGTTGTGTGTGCCTCGCCCGG